ATATAACTGTCCAATCTTTAGTTTGTTGAGATTTTTCCCAGACAAATAGCAGCCCCTATCTTTAGTGTGTGTTATGAACACCAGGTGGAGAGTAGATGTTTTAAAGAGAAATATATAACTGTCCAATCTTTAGTTTGTTGAGATTTTTCCCAGACAAATAGCAGCCCCTATCTTTAGTGTGTGTTATGAACATCAGGTGGAGAGTAGATGTTTTAAAGAGAAATATATAACTGTCCAATCTTTAGTTTGTTGAGATTTTTCCCAGACAAATAGCAGCCCCTATCTTTAGTGTGTGTTATGAACACCAGGTGGAGAGTAGATGTTTTAAAGAGAAATATATAACTGTCCAATCTTTAGTTTGTTGAGATGTTTCCGAGACAAATAGCAGCCCCTATATTTAGTGTGTGTTATGAACACCAGGTGGAGAGTAGATGTTTTAAAGAGAAATATATAACTGTCCAATCTTTAGTTTGTTGAGATTTTTCCCAGACAAATAGCAGCCCCTATCTTTAGTGTGTGTTATGGTCACCAGTTGGAGAGAGGATGTAACATTAATATCAGCACATATTTATTAAACCTATGAAGTTTACAAAAAATAAATATTTCTTTTAATCAGCAAAAAGGCATAATAAGTTTTTCTGAAAAGTTGTTTTTATGGTTGTTCTCTGCAAACTTTCTTGATAATAGTGTTTTTATATGTGGTCTTACAGAAAGGAAAGATTAGGAACACTTCGAGTAGATGACGGGCCTGTAATAACTGCTACATCCGATCCTGGAGCTACTGAACTAAACACGGATGGAGTTCTCTGGCTAGGTCTGAATCAATTTTATTTCTAGACGTTTTTAAAGTAATACGAATATTGACTTGATCTAATTTCATAGTTGATGTTATATACAAGTTTCTAATGACACAAAGTACACATCTAATATAGTTGGTTCTTTTTCTTTCTTTCAGGTTGTACCAAATTCTTTAAGTGTCAGTAAACTAACACATTATATAAAATTAAAATTTGAAAATATATTTTCTTTTGTGACGAACTTATGTCAAATGGAGATTGTCAGAACAGAGAAGTTTCTAAGAAATATCTTTTAATTTATTCTATATTTTTAGATCATCTAATTATTATTTAAAAATATGTTTATCAGTACAACAGTAACACTTAAAAACAGGAACTGTAACAGATGTCAGATATCGGTACAACAGTAACACTTAAAAAACAGGGAACTGTAACAAATAGTAGGCATCAGTACACCAGTACTAGTTGAAAATACTGACCTGTAACAGATGGTAGGCATCAGTACACCAGTAACGGTTTAACATAGTGAACTGTAACAGATAGTAGATATCAGTATATCCAAATATCCATAACCTGGTTATTTAGATCCAGATGGTCAGTGGTCCTGTATTTCCTTAAACATTTTAATTAAATTAAAGTTTGAATCTCTACACACTAGGTCTTCAGTTGACAGTGACTTAAATATTGTACCCAGAATAACATTTGTTATTGGTTGTAGCCTGTTACACTGACACATATATGAGACTTAAATAAACCTTTCATTGATTCTGTAGGTGGATCTCCTGGACTTCCAACTGACCTACCAACACACTACTATCATGGTTTTAATGGTTGTATAGATTCTGTACTAGTAGATGGACAACCCCTGTACATCATCATGCATGGTTCAGGTGCCGTTAGATTCTGTGGCAAGTCATGATGGAATGTTAAAAACTGGCTTCTATAGACCAGCCAACCCTAATCTGCTGGGTGAACTGAGGATCGTGTCTTTGTGTTGGTTATTTGGACAGAAATGATCTACGGTGTTTCATGTGTGCCAATATTAATCTAAATTGTTATGAAAATGAAAATATTCATCTGTGGATTTTGGAGATTGTTTAAAAAAATTGGACTCAGTCCATTCAGATAACTTGAAGAGCGCCAAGAACTGGAATCCCAAAAATTAAACCTGATGCATTTTACATGCCCTAAGTGTATCCCTATATTCGTTGATTCTCGGCAAGCCCCAATAAAGGAACAGTCTCATGTTCAAATGATCATTCTTTATAAAACAAGACTCTTATGTGAATTCAGTATCAATCTTTCAAGCCCTGATTATTTGAAGTATTTATTTCAGTTCCTCTGTCTGATTATGTGATTATTGTAACAAGAAGTGGTTGAATTAAGTTTTATTAACATTAAACAGTATTAAAATGGTTGAAACAATGAATT